CGGAGGGGGAGGCTAATGTCGTGGGGCGTATAATCAGCGTATGCCGAAAAAGGGGAAGGAAAACCAACAGGTGGAGGTGCCGCTTCCTCTTCATAAACTTCTTCTGCCTCCGCAACGGGCGGTGGCGGTGGCGGCGGCGAAGGAGGTGGTGGGGACGGTGCCGTAGGTACAACGACGGATGGACGAGATGAAGCCGGGGGAGGGGGAGGTGGAGGCTAACGCGCATGCGAGTAAGTTAAAGCTGCGATACGAAGTACGGAATGTACTGACTACATATTCTTCTTCCTCTGGTTCTGGCTCTGGCTCCGGGACTACCGGTGGGGGAGGCGGGGGAGGAACAGCAGTTCTGAAAGTCGATGGAGTTGGAGCAGTGGGGGTGAATGATGCTGCTTTACTTCTATCTTCTTCCTCCCCTGCTTGTTTCTTCGCTAAGGCCTGGCGCTCGCTCCATGTCAATTTCTTGCTGCCTGGATGATGATAGCAGACATTAAAACGAAATCACTAGGAGGGCGATAGATCCACAAACCACTTGGCTGCACCCTGGATTGAGTAACCTCAGCTTGGACATCTGCCTGCCTGGCAGCAAACGGATTGACCAACTTCTTGGGTTGCAGCTTGATCGGCGTATACGCTGTACCGACTGGCCCGATCTTGTCATCGTCATCTGGCTTTGATTGACTAGCTGGAGCAGGTGCGGGGGCAACCACAGGAGACGGGGATACAAATCTTGCAGCAGGCTAAGACTAATGCTTCTGTGCATCGCGACTATAGGTAATAAGGCATCACTCACGGAGGCTACTGCTGCTTGGGGCCTTGTGGAGATCGGTGGACGAGAAACAGACGGGAGAGCCGGCGGCGGCGGCGCTGACTGCGACTCCTCTGGCCATGCATCCGCAGGTGCCCTACTGGAAACGGGCGCCCTACCTAATCCCGCCCCCGAGAATCCCGCAGATGGGGTGGGGCGAGGGGCGCTAGGGACTGCGGGCTTAGAGACGATGGCAGGGGCAGGGGCAGGGGCGGCGCTCCGCATGGATGCAATGTCCACCTTGCCTACGGGTCTGTAGTTGGTCCCTACCGGCGCGATCGGCTCAAATTTTCGCGCTGTTTCTTTATGCACAGAGTATTTAGCACCGGAAGCGGCCTCAACGCGGGACATGATGAGGGAGGGGACGACATCGGACTAAGCGGGCGATTGGTTGTGTATCAGATCGGTCAGAAGAGCAGAGATAAAAACCACGCAGGGACAACACACCTCATTCCGAGCGTTGATCACAACGTGAGTGCCTCGAAGGAAATTCGCGATCGCGCTGGAGTGCGTATGGAAGAGACCTTTCCGTGCCACGGGCACCCCGTCGCCACACCAGTTGATCTGGACGAATTTCGGCAGCTCGCTCTGCAAATTCGGTGGTAAGTTGTGCATACAGCGGCACTGAAGGCAACTAGACCTTACATTTGGATCCTTGACGCGAACAAACGCATACTGCATTCTAGACGTAGCCATTCGAGATGGTTCCCAGTAGAGCTGAGATGGTCAACATACCTTCCGTCGGAGAACTCGTCTTGCAACTCCTCTAAGCTGCCGTTCCCGGTCGCCTGTACCTTGAGGTCATTGCTGGCCTTTTCATAGGTGAATATCGCCCAATCGATATCTCGCCCACTCAGGACGTCTTGATACGCCTGAGTCAGGTCCTTGCTAGACAAGTTGATCTGCAGAGACATCGTGGAGATTTAAGGATTTTATGTAGTACAGTGGGTTCAGGTCAGACAGAATATAAGAATGAATGCGGCAGTGGCCGCAGACACCCGCAGTTGTGGCTGCGACGCATACATCTTCCCACGCTTTCAATATGAATATGAACAGAACTTGAATCACTTATTACTACGAGTTCGACCCAATCTTGTCGAGTGCACTTTCTTTCTTCCGCATACCGACATCTCCGACCGCCACTTTGCATTCACACTGAGCGACTAGACTTCTCGAACTAGACAGACGAGCGGTGTCATCTGAATGAACGATATCTTGCATGCCTTGACGGAACCGATTCTGGTGGCATGAGCAACGACAATGGGGTCAATACCAAAGGTGAGTCTGAGTGTATAGTGTGTCAAGTATGCAACTGATTAAAATGCTTTCACATGAGCAGAGATTGACCCAGCCTTGGATTTTTTTGCCGGAACTGTAGCTGGTAAATTCCCTACCGTGCTATCGGAAGTGCTCCATGGTCCTCATAGTTCCTTCGCATTGCACAGGCATCGCCGCACTCGCTGTTGGCTTTCCTTTTGATACCGGTGAGTACAGTGTATCCTAGTTCCCTTCCAAGCCATTCACCTTCTCCATTGATAGTAAAAGTGCGCTTCCAGAGTGCTGCGTCGATGAAACAGTACAAATCAACCTTCCACGCGTTCTTCACCATCCTACAGCGAGAGCGCCTCACTGGTCTTTACCGAGGTATTGCGTCTCCTTTGGTGCGTCACACCGGTGCCACCTCGTGTTGAGCGTTGACACTGGTTCCGCTTGGCGTTTTACCATTTGCCTTTTAAGGTAACTGCCGCTCCACTAAATGGACTAGTGTTTTCTTCGTACCGGTACCTAAATGCAGCTCAAGCCGAGAAAGATGGAGCGGTATCGACGTTGGTTCAAGTTGCACTAGCAGGCGCAGGGACGGGTGTTATTGCCACGTATGTATCTCTCCCACACAGCAGTTTACATTTCCCCCAGCTTGGCTCATCTCTTACCACCCTCTCTTGTTTGACGGTTTGCCTTTATGATGGCGAAGACTCATCACTACACCGACAGAACTTATCAAGACTCGCTTACAGCTCCTGCAATCCACGGCGTCTGTATATAGGACTGCGTCTTCAGCGGCAAAGCCTGACATCCGCGCCTATGCTGTTGCGCTTCAAATTGTAAAGGACCACGGCATCAAGGGACTTTACCGCGGAGTTACAGCCACTGCGCTCCGAGACATCGGCTACGGCAGCCACTTTTCT